AGGGAAGTACTTCAGTCGGTAATTAACTCGAGAATTAAATAATGTAACTAAATGAGTTTTAATTTTTCAATGACAAGGACAAGTTTTAACTCTAGGATGTAGTTTCTCGTGAACCATTGGGACACTCAAACTGTCCACCTTTCCACCGAAGGTTCACTCTAGTTCAGTTCAAATAATAATCCAATCGAGTGATGACAATCCAGTTCTCGGGAATACGCCTGTCTCTGTTTCAGATGGGACAGCTCTACTCTCGTTCTATTCTGACAGAAATTGCGAATAGCAATTTCCCACTGTTTTATCTAGCAACTTTCCCGCGATTGTTGTTCGATCGTTCTCAATTCTCTTTTTCGGTTTTCAGTTATCGCGAGAAAATCGTGCATGACAGGCTCTATTCGAATTTTTGAAAAATTAAATTTCACCCCAAAATTAAGTGCTCTTGCTTTTCTCAAGGTCAAACTTCCAAATATGACCGACGTATGTGGGACACGAGTATACGTGATTTTGGAGTGAAGTTTTTTTTCAAAATTTCGAATGGAGCCTGTCATGCTCAATTTTCTCGCGACAACTGAAAACATAAAATGAAAAATCAGAACGACCGAATTAACAATAGCGGGAAATTACTTAAGAAAACAGCAGGAAATTGCTATTCGCAATTTCCAGATACAAAATAAGACACGAGTAGAGCGGTCTTATCCTGAAATAGGAGACGAGATAATCGAGAGAGAAGAGTACAATTATTCGAGCTGAACTAGAGTGAACCTTCAACGGAAAGGTGGACAGCTGGAGTGTCCCAATGGTTCAGACTAAAACTTCAATTCTAGAGTCAAAACTTATTTTATTTATTGAAACTGATTAGTATTGAACTACTCAAGTTATTTTATTCAATTCTCGAGTTGCTCATCACTTTAATTACTCCCTATTCTCGAGTGTGTCGACATGTGAGTTCCAAATTTAGTTTTCTCGAGTGTGTTTTATGATTGTTATGTTGAGATAAGGCGAGTTTTAGGTTGATACATCTGAAATGGATCAAAGTTCCACTGTCCAATAAAAAAGTAACTCAACGGATTGTTCCGACCCTGTTTTTAACGGCGTTTGTGTATTTTGGGTATTTCGAGACCTAAGTATGGGAAAATTCTTATTTTCTAGAGTGGGGGGGATATTTTGGTAGTGGCCTTTAAGCTGTAATGGGTTCTAGTCTCATGTCGCAAGCGAATCGAATTGGCTCCGACCGTTCTTGAGGTAGAAAAACACAAGAGATAGTGTCCCTGACTCTTGAGCCAATGGTTATAGGGCCTATTTTTCTTAAGCCTCATATGTGACCGAAGTAGGCGACTGTTACACAAATTCATGGTTTGGCAGTGCGATAGGAGCTGTACCTTTAATGCAGAGCACTTTACTTTTTTCCTAAGTTCATTGACATGAAATTTTCGTCACACCACCGCCACAGTTTTCTAACGTCTATATTCAGTGTTAAAGGGTTGTCGCCTACAATTTTGTAGTCATCAGCATAACCGAACGATTTGGACATGACACATGATGGAAGATCGTTTATGAAAACCAAGAAGAAGAGCGGTCCGAGGATGGAGCCTTGTGGTACGCCACTGAATACTTCTAATTCATCTGAAACAGTGTCATTTAGTCTCACAGTTTGCTTCCGTTTATAGAGGTAGCTTCTTAACAGATTCAAACAATGTCCACCAATCCCCAGAGCAGCCAACTTTTGTATGAGAAGCTCATGCATGACTTTGACAAACGCTTTCTTGAAGTCTATATAGAAGATATTCAGATAGGAGCAGTTTTCAGACTCTAAGCAGCTATCGATTTCATGCAGATATTCTATAAGGTTCGTTGTAGTTGACCGTTTGGGTCTGAAACCACGTTGGGCTGATGCCAGAGTTGGGTAAACAATTGGAGTCAGCTTCTCGAAAGTCAGTTTCTCTAGCAGTTTTCCTTAGGTTCTTACAAAGCTTGTTCATAAAATTTCTGTGCTGGGGCCGGCCGCGCCCTGAATCTCAAAAGCTAGAGGTTGAAAAAGATATCCATCATCTACAAGATCTTTATACTTGTCATTTTTTTGCTCTTCCGCTTCAGCGGCAGTCGTACCAGGGTTACAAACAGACCCGGCTTTAATCCTACAAGGAGCTAAGGAGTCTACCACCGTTGGAGCTCACAAGAACTGCTCACCAACAGCCCATGGAACGAGCGTCAAACCGTCTGGTCGCTTCTGATTGGTCCTGTAGAGGTGTGTTGCTTCTAAAACAGACGGAATGTGAATAGAAGATAAACTCTGCTTTATAAAGACATTCAATTTCGAATGCCTAGAGAATCTCCCTGCACTTTTGAGGCAGGAAAGACCATGCCAACCATACTGGGTAACGTCTTTTCTGCAGACGTATTTATGCCGTTCGCATATTTTTGCGTCTAATCGAAGTCCTATCGCAATTCTGAGTTGTTGGTTCGATAGTTTTAACATTAAATTTTTGCACGAGATGTTGTTCAACCATTGGGAGCCAAATCTATCTTGGAACGCGTTGAAACTTTTAACATCCGTTCCGTTGGCTCGAGTCGTAAAATCAAATCTGCAATTTCGCTGTCAAAAATTGGCTCTGTCCAATTTTCTTGGATTTCATTTTTCGGAGCCATTTCAATTTTTCCAAGTTTAAACCAACTTTAAGCGCATCATCATAAGTTCCATCCACATGCTCCAAACCAAAGATTTCGCTCAAGGCATTTTTTGCTCCTACTGCTGAGGCTAAGAAAGCGGGTAAAGCGAGTAGACGAGCGGAAGAAACGCCCAAGCCACCTTTGGCTGACGGGAGAACTGCTTGTAAAAACTTGTTATCATCCATATTCACACTAGTGACCTTGCATAACGAATTTCTTAGTAATTTGTCGTAGCGTTCTAATAAATCCCGTTGCAAAAAACAAGGGCTAGTAAGCAAAAAATATAGGAGTTTTGGCATGCTAATTGTTTAGGAGGTAAAAGCCATAATGAGCGTCTAGTTTGTCAACGATATCCGAGATTTTTTCAAGCTCCATAATTTTTTCGTCCGGTAATTCTTTTCGGCAAAATTCGCCGAGTGGAGATCCTAAAATGAGGCGTTCTTTTTTTGTTTTTATTTTTATTTTGGGGCATATTTTTTGGAATTGTGTACTCGTAGTCGGTCCCAAAAACAAAGTTCGCACTTCTCAGTGTTCATGCTCAGGCCGTAAATTCGTTCCGATTTCAGAATGTTTTTAAGGTCCCGGAGTACTACCTTATAGTCGTCGGCAAAATTTCCATCATCTAAATATCAGATGTTATTTTTCGACTCCAACTGTTTGACTAGTGTCTGAATTGTTTCCGCAAAAAGGGTTGGGGCTTCAGGATCGTCTTACCTTGCTGAATTACCGTAAAAAAAGTAACTAGGTTTACTCTACGCTCAATGGGTGTAATTATACAATTCGGGGCAATTTGAATAACCATGATTCAGCATTGTTTTTCTATTTAGAGAATTAAAGGCATTCTTAAAACCTAGTTTTAAAAGAACAGTGCACTTTGGATTGTCGTCGCGTTCAATTAGGTTTCGAAACGAGTGTGCCGCTACTTCTGCTCCTCGTTTTGTACCGCATCCTACCTGTATGTTTTCGAAAAAATTTTATCGCTCGGAGAGGGCCTTGCTTCCAGCGCATTTAGACGCGATACGTCTCAGCGTGTTGCCTATGGCAATCGGTCTCAACCCTCCGTCTATCTTTATGAGGGCAATAAGCTTTGCGCCAAAAAAGAAAGTTCTTAGGGGTTCGGGTATTTTGCCATCTGAGTTTTATGAGGTTTATCAGCTTAGCAAGCGATTTCAGAAAACTAAGTCCTGCCTTGTCATTCGACTTACTAACAAGATCTTTAAAAATTTGAGGAGCTAATTTATCAGGACCTGCTACGATCCGTTCGGAAAGGACATTATTGCTTTGTATAGGTCAAAATTAGTTACGAAAAAACGGTCTAACTTTTTTGGATTCGGAGCTGCAATATTGGCTCGCTGAGGATGCTTAGACAACAATTTTTGATAGTTATCAGTTGAAAAAGGAGCAATTTTGTCAACCGAAGCAGCAAGCTTTTTTCCCCCCTTTACATTTCCTTCATCGAGCTTACTACTTATTAGTTTTATGCTCTGCTCGAAGTCACTCAGAGGCGGGCTTGAAACTTGGGGATTTGGAAAAAACTGTTCATTTGCTCGATATTTTTTATTTATCAAAGAGCTCATGCTTGTGGTCTGTTTGCGTCCACTTCTTTTCGGTTGCTCCAAAAAAAAACAAGAACGATGTTAAAAAATTAGCCATTTTGTAACATTTTCTTCCTTGTATGCGATGTCATTTATTTTGTCCGACAGACTTTCCGCCAAGGGAACACGCGAACTTTTTTGGTACTCTCCTGAGTACTCGGACATTTGAGATGGCTGTAATAACATAATTGTCTAGCAATAAATCATTACCTATTGTTGTTTTATTAACAGAATTTACATCAAATCATAAAGGACACTGAAACCATTGGGTTTTCTTAGAGTCGCTAAGAGAAATATTTACACAACTGTTATGATACCAACTAGAACAACAATCACATCTAATCCAATTTATCAGTCCTGAAGGTTTTAAGCAATCTTTGCTCGTACACTTTTTGTTGTTTTTCCTTATCTTGACTCAGCATAAAGGTTAAAAAAAAGGATTTTGACTGAACTTTAGGTGACTGAACTAACCCATGATAAGCTTTTAGTGGGAATTTTATAATTCAGCAAACAAAAAAATAAAAGGCAATTAAATAAATTTAATTTTTAAAATCGAATTACAAAAATCAAAAACAAGGAACAATCTCACCCGAGCTCAGTAGGTCCAGCGGTGCACCACCAGACTCTTCGAGTCAGTTCCAGTTTCCCACCTCCCCACAGAAAGCCACTTGACAGACCTGTCTCTAAAATCCCTCAGAGGGCGTTCCACAAACAGGCACAAATATCAATCATAACAAATCTATTTAATAAGTTTATCACAACAATCATGCTTGAGCGTTGATTTGTTGATAGTTTTTTCAGGCTTTTTGACTTTCCTCAGAAAACTACCCTCCCATATCAGGATTCAGGGTTTAATTGAAAGAACAGACTGTAAATATCTTCCCTGCACAACCGGCTATGCCCTCAATTGCATAGTAAAAAAATATGGCCTCGAAGAAGTCGATGTGACATTCGACCAGAATGACTGGAAATGCATGTCATCAACGAACTTTTATTCGAAGCAGTTTGGTGGAAAAATTGATTGATTTGAACGATTATTAGTGTTAATCGTTAAATTGAACGTATTAGGAGTGGTCAATTTGGATGGACAAAATATTTTTTAAATTTTCAATTTGGGTGTGCATGACACGTAGCAATTTTATTTTTTGCAGCAAATGAAACCGCGAAAATCAGAACAGCGATTTTTGCTTTTATAACACAGACGTGCGATCAACAAGACGGCGAAAATTACATTCGACGGATGTTTATAGAGCAGCGCTCTTAGTCGTAACGATTGTACAGCTACAATCGTTTCTTAACAAATCCCGAGAATCAGAACTGCTATCGGGAGGATTTTGCTACCCTTCCTGGTTGTCAAGCAGACACCTCTTGGTCCGGAATCAAGAACCCAATAGGGTTTCGGTGAAAGATAGTGAACTATATTTCAAATTTCAGCTTTCCGGGATTTACTGAATTGAACTAAATTAACATCACCCGATGTTAATGAACCACACATTGAAATAGCTTGGTAGACACGATTTAAAGCAAGCAAAGCTGTGTTTGGACGCTAGCAAGTCGTTTCAGAACCTCGCCCTATTTTCCGGTATGTGCTTCCGGGCGAATATTAAGTATATAATTTTTTGGCGCTGCTTGGTGTTGTTTTTCAAATATCATGATCGTTAGACACGTTAACGGAGCTTTCCTTGACCAGCGGATGCTCTAAATAAGGCCCCTGGCCAAGAGCCAGAAGGGTATTTCGGAAGGCGAAAGCCATCTGGATTCCCCGATGTAGCTTTTTAAACATAATTAAGTTCGAAAATTCACGTATCGTGAAGGGTGGGGGATCGGCCGTCCTGTTGGTCTCTGAGCAGTATGTGACGACAAACACTTAAAGGTAAACAACAAATCAAAATAAAAGTAGTATAGTACCTGAGAAAAAACCAAAAATTACCGAAAAAACAAAAAACAAAAAAACACACAAAATCAGTAGAAATCATCCCCCAGACGAAATGTGATCCGACCCTCCCGTTTGTTGTTGTCGGATATATTGTTGTTAAAGGCAGTCATATCAAACCGAATTGTTTCAATCAAAACTGTGGTCTCTTTCTGGTGCCTGTACTTGAGGGTTGATTGAGTATTTAGGCCGGTTGATTCTAATTTGCGCTCAATCCGAAAGGGTCAAGTGATTAGAGTGGAAGACTCATCCGGCAAGCAGTGCAAGGGGCAGGAAGAAGGGTATCTAGGACAACAGTTTTCAATTTTTGGTCTATTGTTAGGTAGTTTTGTACCCTTTTTGGTACAAAAAATACGAAATCAACCAGTGGGGGCTCGTCAGTGACTGCACAGTAGTGACCCTCAACAGAGTTGCGATTTTCCAAGTTAAGCACCTTAATTTGGATATTGAACGGACCCGGAGGAGTACAACACTATAACACTACTCTTTATGCTACCCATTGTGAAATTCCCGTATCGGTTTTTGGTCAAAACAAACCGGTTTTAGGGTCAAAGTAGTGAAATTTTAATCCCCCCAGAACTCGCAATTTTTGAGATATACATAATTTTCAAAAACGGAAAAAAGCTCTTATATAGTCGGTTATATTGTGACACGTCTTTAAAAAGTAAAACAAATTGGTTGAGTTTAGTTCGGAGGTGGTTGGAACTAATTGGGCAACAAAATCAAACTTTTCTTGATTTTTAGAAAAACGAAACGCCACAAAACCAGAAAAAATTTTCGATAATTTTGTTCCTTTGTGATAAAAAATTGTTGTTTGGACAACATACACTAGTAAATTGTCAGGTTTTAGAATCCGTTTACCAACCACCCTCCAGGCTTCTTCACGAATCGAACTGCACGAATTCGATTTGGTGGATTCATCACCCCGGAAGGGTCTAAAAAGCATTGTTTTTTGAAAATTTTTTCAACAGTAAAGTTTTTTAGTTTGGGTTTATTGCTTTGAACTAAAACACTAAAATTTCTAAGTTGGGATCAACAATTTTTAGTCAATCAGACAAGAATTGCAGAAAAAGATAGGTTTTACCTGTAAGTTTGAAAAATTTTTAACTTTGCATAAAGAACAGTTTGCTTCATAACTCGCTAACAACTGAACCCATCCATTTAATTTTAGTACCGTTAGATCAGCAATTTACTAAACTTAGCTTAAATGTTAAAAAAAAAATTTCTGAAGAAATTGAATTTATAAAATTTTTTAAGCAAAAACAACGGTTTTGAGGTTAGACCCACACGGTTTATAAAAACTTTTAGGAAAGACCTTATATCCTTACCAAACTGTTGAATAAGGAATTTTTACACTGTTTCAGACAACAAACAAGGTTTAGGCAACCTTGAAATCAGTAAGCAAGTCGGAAATATGCCGATTGGTAGACCCCTCCCAGCTAAAGGAAATCGCTAAATATTTCAATCCGGAGCAGGGCTTCTAACCGGAGGTGTCCAAAGTAAAGATAAATCCTTCCTAAGTAGTTGATTCTGCATTTTAGACTCTAATACCGTATCCGGAAAGGTAGCGGTTTTTATTTTTTTGTCGACTCGGAAGGGCCCCATCCGGAGGGGTCCCGTTTTTGCCAATACAGTAGGGTCAAATTTTTGCCATTTCGGAGGGGTCCCAATACGGAGGGGTCCTTTTTTGCCAATTCTGAAGGGTCCCCAATCAGTAGGGGTCCTGTTTTTGCCAATCCGGCAAAGGATTGTTAATTTGCCAAAAGGAGGGTCCCGTTTTCGTCAATCCGGAGGGGTCCTGTTTTTGCCAACCCGAAAGGGTCGTATTTTTGCCAATTCGAAGGAAGCCCAATCCGGAGGGATCCTGTTTCTGCCAATTCGGAGGTGTCCCAAGTCGGAGGGATTCTCTTTTATGCGATTTTAAGAGGATCACTGAACGCCAATCCGGAGGGGTCTACAAATATTTTTTTCCGAACGCAAACGCAGCGATCATTATAGGATGGTAAACCAAAGCAAGTCATTTATTGGATAGAATTAAGATATTAAGACAAATAGATAGACCAAACAAGACAGGAAACTAGTGAGTGCACTGGTAGCTTGCATTTAAATAAAAACTGAAAAGAACATAAAAAGACCAGAACAGGCAGAAATCCAGAGACTCGCGACTCTAGGTCTGACCGAAATTAGAAGTCGACACTAAATTGATTAGGAATGCAATTCGTTACTCATTTTTTGGAAGATTGGTTGTCTTGAGAGTTTTAGTAGGTCAAGCTCGGGCAAAGAGAAGGCAGATAGTTAACACAGAACAACAAGGGTGCAATAGCCTCCCACATGAGAGAAAGATACTGCCTTCAAGTTTTGTCTGTTTGGTGCGGCGCTAAACGGAGAAAACTTTTTCTTTATAAACCAGTTGAACTAATAAGCTATGACAGACGGATCCCAATACAAATACATTTTTTTGATTCTTTCATCTTCAAATTGAATAAAAATTTTTTTTTATAATTAATGAACACTCGGAACAAAAAGGGGAAGAAAGCTTCAGGAGGAATCTTTGAAACAAGGAGTCAACGATCTCGGAAGACAGACAAAAGGACAAATTTAGGAGCAGAGAACAATCTGAGCCCTGCTCAGGATGAGAATCAGGCGGAACATGGAACCAAAGGAAATTGTATCAGGAAGTAAACGAGTGTATCTACTCCCGTAGAACAGGGCAACGATTTCGCTGCTTCGACCAGGACTCTTGATCGAGAAGAAAAGTCGGAAGTGTCCGATATTTCGATTGAAAAACCGGCAGTAGGAGGCTCACCTACTAAAATTACCAGGATTGATCAGAGAAGGCGGCAACATCTTCCTCGTCTTCGGAACGTGTCAATAACACTATAGGAAATTTATCTCCGTTAACCATGGGAACGGGAACTGGCTTTTGAAGTCAAACCAAAAAGAGGACAAAGATAATAGAGAAATCGATGACTCTAAAACTCAAGTGCAGTTCGAACTATGAAAACGAGGCAACGTAAACATGGAGAATGGTAACACGGATCGATTTGGTGCAAAGAACCATAAACACGGCTATAAATGGAAACAAGAATCGAGAGAATTCATGATAATGGCCGTTTCGCACATGCAAGTGGGTGCGTTTAGGGTCACCGGCTCAGGGACCACATAAGTGGAACTCTAAGCGGAGTTTGAAGGACCTTCGAGACAGAGAGGAACAGCAGCGTCAGTTTCGACAAGTACTAAACTGCCTGTCAGGAATCAGGTGACGCTACTTCTAGTGACTCCAAGATTGGACAATGCAGCATCAAAGTAAGAGGATTTCGATCAGGTTGATGGATAGCATGGGTGAGCAGAATGAACAGATTTCGATCAGAATGAGTGAGCTAAAAAGAGCAGTTCATGTTGAGAAAGAAAGTCTGCGGGAGGAAATAAGTCATAACGTACAGGAGGTCAGCAAAAGCAAAAAGCGGTTAAGAGAGAGAACAGATGATTAATTGGCCAGAAAATGTCGCGAATAATGCGGGAGGCTGAGGAAAGAGAGAAACGATTGCGAGGTGACCTGGAGCAGCTTCCCATTCAACAAGAGCAGACTCTTGGGACTCTCGATACAAGGATAGACGCGATGATGGAAAGACGCACTCAGGCTATAATGGACAGATTGGACGTCTCCTGGGAAACAGGAGCCAATATGAAGTAGGGGAGCACACTTGAGGGAAGCTAGCAGATAGTCGAGAGTGATTTTCTATGAGCATTAAAACAGAGAAGGGACCTATGGGTACACGAGAGGAAGAGGTAACCCAACGAGTGCCGCAACTGGTAGTAACGGGCCCAG